AGACCAACCTGGCCTCCCCTGAGCCCTACCTGCACCCGTCCCAGGTAACGCCGCTCCCGTGCGACGCCGTCTCACGTTTCACGGGAATTCACCGTTTTCCTCATTTTCCAGGAGGAAGCCCATGGGCAGGGGAGTCCCTTGGTAGGAACCCTGGGGCCAAACTCTTCTCAGTGGCCCGTGACAGGACAAGGGGTAATGGGTACAAGTTGAAACCCAGGCAGTTCCATCTCCATGCGAGGAAGAACTTCTTTCCTGTGAGGGTGCCAGAGCCCTGGAACAGGCTGCCCAGAGAGGCTGTGGAGTCTCCTTCTCTGGAGATCTTCAAAGCCGCCTAGATGCCACCCTGTGCCCCGTGCTCTAACCGTCCCTGCTGAAGCAGGAGGATTGGACTGGATGATCCCTAGAGGCCCCTTCCAACCTCAACCATCCTGAGATTCTTGAACGGACGGTCCCGTGAGGCTGCTCAGCCCAGGCCGAGCGTCCTTGGCAGCAGGAGCAGGGGGCAGTGCAGAACATCCTGGAGCGATGCAAGGGTGGGCAGAGCAGGTGGCTACTGAGAAGCATCAGGGGATTCCCATTGGATTCCCCACTTGAGCTGGCATTTGCCACCAGCTACTGTGGAACTGGTCTTCCAAGTATGGCTTTGGCCACCCAGGAAGGGTCCCCCCAGGGCATCTCCTGCCTGGCAGAACTGGCAGCCCTAGTGCCCACATGTAGCTGGAAGGGGATGCCAGGCAGGACCTGCTCCCTCTTGGTGCCCCACAAGGTCCTGTTGGGACCTGCTGGGCTGGGCGACTTCCCACCCCAAGGCGACAGCAGGAGGGATGGGGCCTCTTATGGCAGGTAGGTGACATTGGTCTCCATCCAGGACCATCCTCAGGGGCAGCACCTGCAGGTCGGCCCAGCCCAAGGGGGACACCTCCATCCCTACCAAAGCTTCCCATGGCACACAGAAACTTCAAACTTTCTTTCAGTTCCTCTGATGTTTTTGGCTGGATCGGCGGGGAGGTGGATGCATTACATTTACATTGCACTGTTTGCAGTGGTGCTTTGCTTCTGTCTTCTAAATATCACTCTTAGCTTCCCATTGGATGGATGAAGGGACAGCTTTTCCTTGCAGAGACACACAGATGAAGACACACAGTGGGTCTGGCTGCCAAGAACACCCTGCAGCCACGATCCCGCCTGGTAAAAGTGCCCTAAAGTGTGAGGTTTGTGGGGGAATGATGTTCCCAGAGCCTCTTTGCTTTCCCAGTGGGAAAAAGGCTGCGGTTGCATCTCTTCCCCATGCAAGGAGGGACTGAACGGGCTTTTCCAGGAGCTCCACTTGTCCCACGTCGCAGCTGGGAAGTGGAGCCTTTTTTTGGCTGCTCCGTAACACGCCTAGTGAGGAAGATCATGATTAAAAAACCTGGCAGCCCTGGGGCAAGCCTGCAAGTGCCCTAAGGAGGAGAATAAATCGTCTCCTCTTGCAGACCATCCCTGCCAGGGCCTGCCACTGCCACGGATACAGAGAGGGCATTAAGAATCAATGTCCCCTTTCTGGTTCCTCAGCCCACTTGATTTTGCAGAGCGCTTCTCCACCAGGAATGAGGATTTATCCCCCAATTTGCCCTTAGTGGTTTGAGATATTGCACAGCTTCAAACCCGCTGCTGGACCTTCGATTTAGCAGTTCTCACATCTGGTGGTCACAGAGACCCAGTACATAGCGCAGGGGATGGCTCCGACGGCACCTTCACCTCATCCATGGCTCTTTCCTTTCGAGATTTCTTCCCCTGCTTTTCCGCTTGGCCCCTTCCTTGTGATAGATCGGCACTCACAGGTGGCATCAGTGCTGCGTGGTCCCTGGTGGACCCAAGTGTCCCGAAGTTTGATAAATGCCCTTCCAGTTCTTTGCAAACAGAGGTTTTATGTGATTCTCGCCCCCCCCGCCAAAAAAAAAAAAATCAAAATCCTTCACTGACCTGTCAAGTGAGCGGGATCCCAAGACACGGCCAGGTGAGGTCAGGAGGGTGAGTCCCGTGTCCTCCTGCTCAGGAGCAGCCAAGGTGCCACCTGTATTTCCTCAGCCCCTCGAGGTGGCCTTGGTGCCCCTGGTTCCCCTCTGAGCACACACAGACCTGCCTGATCCTGACAGAAGAAGGAATTCAAGAAAGAGCTGCCCATGCGGGTGGAGGCTCCTGACAGGAGAGAGGACAGGAAGGCCCTGAGCCACCACAACTCTGCAAAAAGCAGCCAAGAGGAACCTGTGCACAAGTGCAGCGGGAGCCAAAGCCGCAAGCGAGACCTCGGGCATTGATTTAAGGCTGCTGTGAGAGGAGCAAAGGTATAATGGCTTTTTAAAAACGGATGATGCAGTGCGCAGTTATCCAGACGGGTGCAATCAGAGCTGGAAAGCTGCTTAGAGGACGAAGCCTGTTATCAGGAAGGAGGGCAGAGACCCCGGAGGTAGCTCTGAGACAGCAAATTATCAGGAAAACATTTTCCACCTGGGGGGAGAGGGGGATTTGGTGAAGATGGAAGGACGTCATGTCCAAAGGCAGCCCAAGAAGCACCTTTTCCTACCGAGCGCCCTGTGCTGCAAAAGCTGAGCCAGCTCCTTGTCCCCCTCAGCCATATCTGCAGCCAAACACTGATGTCGAGAGCGTCGGTGCTGCAAGGAGCCTGGGGCACATCCCTCTTCCCCACAGCAGCTCTCGCTTTGTTCCTCATCCTCCCTGAATTTCCCCTCCTCATTTTACATTTTTCCAAAGACTGGAGTAACTCGGGAGCCCCTCCATGAGTCAAAATGTATTTATTTGCACAGTCTGTTTCGTTACAGACTCACCCCAGGCCTGGCCAGGCTCGGAGCTGCTGCAGATGTCAGTGGCCAGGGATTTGTCCGTGTTTGGAAGTGGCTTTATCTCCTCTTTTATTTTTGCTGTTTATCACTGCAAAAACTCGTTGCACAGTTTTAATTTGCTTCCTCCCCTGCCTCAATCATTTGGGGAATCAGAAATATCAGCTCAAACCTCCACCTGCTTTACAGGCTGTTTTCAGAGAGCGGCAAAACTCCTGGCAGCTCGAAATACATGTTTTGCAATGGGAAAAGAAGAGATGCTCCTCATCCTGCCAGCCAGAGCAAGATGTGGTGGAAATAAAGAAGAAAATGGGAGCCAAACAGGCCACTCGGTGCCTGTCGCCTTCTCGCCTGGCTCCAGGACCCTGTAGCTCGTTCCTGGTTTGCTGACATGGTTTTGGGGGATGCACTTGAACATTTCCCCCTTCCCAACCCAAAATAAACGTCCTGCTCCAGGCTTGGCGTCTGGCATTAACGCTCAATTGTTTCTCCCTGTGCTTTAGCCCCGGGCTCTCACGCTCCCCGAGTTCATTTAGGACTCTGTTAATTAGGGCTGAAGCTAATTGCAGCTCGGCGCTGGCAGCCAAGGACCAGTGAGGTTTTGCTGTCCGTGCAAATCTCTGAAAAGTTCCTCCTCCTCCTCGACGGGTGAGCAAGGCATGGAGGCAGCTCCCTGTCCCACCATTGCTGCTGCCCTCCCCACAGATACATCCAATCGCTCTGGCATCCCGGAGACTGGAAGGGGTCTCTGGAAATCTCCTCTTAAAGCAAGGCCTTAGATTGGGTTGCTCAGGGCCAGGATCGGTTGAGTTTGATCCCCAAGGATGGAGATCCTGCAGCTTCCCTGGCCCCTCTTCCAGGGCTTAACCACCCTGAGGGCAAAAAGCCTTTTCCTGGCATCTAAGGGGAGTTTTTCATGCCAGAATTTGTCCCCGGTACCTCTTGTCCTGTCCCTGTGCACCGCCGAGAAGGGACTGATGCTCCAAGAAGAGTCTCCTCCGCACCCCTCGGTCACTGGGAGAGCGCAGTAGGATCCCCCTTGGTCTCTCCTGATTGAACCAACTCAGCTTCTCGTGTTCCGATACCCAAGAGCTCGTCCCCAGACGCCAGACCCACCCCCAGGACCCCAGACCCACCAGCTGGGGCTGGCTGCGGTGGCAGCCCTGGCTGGGTAAAACCTGGGAGCCCCAGACCAATAGCCTGGCCACACCGGGACATCGGAGCAGCAGCGATAGCAAATGCTGCATCTCATCCCATGCATCTGCAAATCCCAAGCCCCTCCAACTAGGACAAACAAGCAGTGACTCAACTGTCTCATAACCATGAGACATAACCATCCTCCAGCTGTAGCCCGCGTAGGTTGTGCTGGTTGCCCTATCTTGGCCAAGTGACCTAAAGCCATCTTCCTGTCTTATAGACCATCTTTAGGCCATCCTAAAGAGACACCAGAAGATATACCAGAGCCAGCACCTCCTGGCTCGGTGCAGGTCCATCCTGTTGTGTTGTGCAGGAGGGACTAAACCCTGGGTACATCATGTCTATCTGCACAGAGCTGTGAAGAAGCAAGTGTTTCCTCTCACATTTTGCCAAGTGAATAAGCGCTTGTGTGTCCAGCCTCTTCCTGGTGGACATGGCCATCCTGGCCATGGTAGTCACCTTCCAAAGGGGCTTCCAAAGACCTTCCAAAGGCCTTGTGAGCCACCTTCCAAAGAGGGTTGTCCCAGTTACTGGTACTCAGTCCAAGTTGTGCATTTCACAGACCTCTTCCTGGGCATGTGGGTTCTGGAAGACCATGCTGAGATGTGGCTTCTTGAAGAAGGGGCTGTCTAGGGGTTCTCATGCAGGTAAGTGTCTCCCTGAGCACCCGAGGCCATAGCCCAACACAGTCGCCAACGGTGCCCTGCGAGCTGGGGAGCCAACAGTGTTTTCATGCAACTTGCCCTTGGTTTGCGCCCACACAGCACGAACAAGCAGGGCGCGGGGCGTCAGTGGAGTCGCCCATCTTGAGTTTGGGGGGTTTCCCTTGTTCTTCTCCCTCCGGAGCTAGGCGGTGCCGTGGTTTATGGAGCAGCACCCCGGAGAGGACGCCGCTCTTGGCGCGAGCGTTGGGTGAGCTTCCCACGCGGCAGCACCTGCTTCGCGGTGCCGATGGTAACACTTGACTTGTCTGGCTGTTGTTTCGTAGTCGGAGGATCTCGGTGCCTGTGCCCAGTTCGAGAGCAGCAGACAGAACAGGAACATGATGCCTAGCGCCAGCTGTGTCTTCCCCACCTTCAACCTGCGCAAGCCCTCTTCAGAGACGGACATTGAGAACTGGGCTTCCAAGCACTTCAACAAGCACACCCAAGGGCTCTTCCGGCGGAAGGTGTCCATCGCCAACATGCTGGCTTGGAGCAGCGAGTCCATCAAGAAGCCCATGATCATGACCAACGACCGCAACGTCAAGAAGGAGGCGTGCGAGATCTTTAAACTCATTCAGATGTATATGGGGGACCGGCGGGCCAAGACGGACCAACTCAACGTGGCCTTGGAGATCGCCACCAAAGGCTGGAGCATGCAGGGCCTGCGAGACGAGCTCTACATCCAGCTGTGCCGACAGACCACCGAGAACTTCCGTTACGAGAGCCTGGCCCGGGGCTGGGAGCTCATGGCCATTTGCCTGGCCTTTTTCCCACCCACTCCCAAATTCCATTCCTATCTAGAAGGATATATTTACAGGCACATGGATCCGGTGAATGACACTAAAGGTAAGAGAGAAACCACTGCCGATAGCTTCCCCCCTGCTGATGTTGCAACCCTTGGTTTTCTTTTCCCCTCCCCTTTGCCTTCGTGTTCCTGGTGTCCTTGCTGAGACATAGGCAAAACGCCTGCCCGGGGGCTGAGTGAATGTGCTCCTGGCTTTGGCACTGGCCGTTCCTCTCCGGCACACGGAAATCCAGCATGATGCCCAACATAAAAACAAGCTTTCGCCGCCCTTGCAGTAGCCCCAGCACCAGTGGTGATGTCCCTGTTGAGGGGCGAAGGGACCGAGGACGGGGCGATGGGGCAGGAGGCGGCTGTGCCAGCTCTTCCCGGTGGGGCAGCGGTGGGTCTTTGAACACCCCCTCAGCCCGTTGCACCTCCACGCCATCCAGCTCCGTGGCTACAGCTGGCGGCTGCTTGTTCTAGACACTGGTGGCACCAGTTCTAGGTGCTGGTGGCACCAGTTCTAGACGTTGCTGGCATCAGGCTTTTGTTGCAGGTTGTTGGTCAAGGGTGGTGTCTCGCTGAGCTGAATTTGAGTTTCTCTCCCGCATAAAGGGCCCGCTAAAGGCGATTGGGGAGGTCTAAGCAAGTGAGGCAGAAGATGAAACAGGACAAGGAGAAAGGCTCCTTCTGTCCCAAATCTTGCTCATGGACTCTTCCATGGAGTGATGGTTTCACACTTAGGGTTGTCCTCACGACAGCCTAGCAGCCCTTGGGCAAGGACACTGCCACAGGTCCCGTGAGCCGGAGGCATCTGTGGGGTGCATCTGCAATAGTAGTAGCAGCAGTGGGGGCATCTTCAGTGCTTATCTCCCCATGGATGCTGGGCAACCTCGAGGAGGATGAGGCTCCTGGGTCTCGAGGGGGTTGCAGGTACAAGTGGCCTTGTCCAGTCAATGTTCGGTGGTGTCTCTGTCCCTGGGAGCACCCCATGTGGACCCAGTCCTGGGCAGCCCACTCCAGGTGATCCTGCTGGAGCAGAGGGTTGGACTGGACGATGTCTGGAGGTGCCTCCCAACTCAACGGTGCTGAGGAGCCGTCCGAGAGAGAGAGCCCGAGTGATCCTGGGGCACGTCCAGCTTCAGCTCCCCAGGGCCAGGCAGGGATGTCCGGAATCCCATGGATCGGGTGGGTTTGGCCAGGCTGAGGACCGGCCTCCAAGGGCTCTGTATCCATAGGGAGCCTTCAGACATGGATATTCATGGAGCCGACCGCAAGCTCCTCGCGGGCAGCAGATCCCTTTTCCCGGGCGCTTGGCGTCTGCCGTGATGCCCGCGTGCTCCTGGGGACAAAGCCCTTCCCTTGTGTTCCCGGCGCCGCCGGAGCCGGCCCTGCGCACAGAGGGACGGTTGTTCCCGGCGCCCGGAGCCGCGGGGTAGGTACTGGCGCCAGGGGGTCGCCCTCTGTGTCGCTTTGGTCTCCGAGCATCCCAGGATGAGGGTGGGAGACGCGGGATGGGGTGGGTGGAAAATCGGACGGAAAAGGAGGAACCGGTGGACGGGTTTTGCCCACTGGCACCTTTGCAAGACACAGCCGCTTGCAAACCCGACTGCAAAATGAGGCAAAATGGTGCTTTTTGCCAAGCGGAGGGCGCCGGGTGCTGCACCCGCCACCCGGACACCACCCCCTGACTCCCTTTCCCCCCTTCCAGCCGATTTCTCTTTTGTTCCATGGTGTTGTCTTCCTCGCTTTTCTGTTTCCCAGTGACACAGCACATTAAAGAGCTGCTGGAAAGGAGCAGTAAGAAGAAATCCAAATTGCGAAAGAAACCCAAGCCCTATATCGAAGAGCATGATGGTAGGGGCCGTGCCACCGCTCGCTTGGTGCCTCCTTCTCTCTAGCCCTAGTCGCAAACCTGCTTCTTCTTGGCCTTTCATCCCTCCCTACCCCCAGCTCCACTTCAGCTCTGTTCGCTCCCCGAACGCTTCAAGGGGCTTCGCTTGGCCGGGCTTTCTCGGGGGGTCTTTGTTTCGCACCCGCTTGAGCAAGATGTATTTAACGGGCTAATTAGTGAGCGGGGAGGGGGAACGGCAGGAATTTAATTAACTGCAGCCACTTAGAGGAGCGCAAGCTGCTTAGTTGTTTTTTTTCCCCCCTGCCGTGTGGATTAACCCGGCTGGGGCCCAGGTGTCCCCAGCGCTGTCCCCCCAGGGCGGGCACGGGGTCCCCCTTCGCCCTGGCAGTTGCCACCCCGGGGCTTTTTGCTGTCTGGAAATGCCCCGAGCAGAGTCTGTCTGCGGGGAGAAACCTCAGAGTGGGACCGGAATGATGTTGGGAAGAGCAGAGCGTGAAGCCCCCAAGGGCAGAAAGTCCCAGGTGGAACTTCTTGAGCATCCTGGGTTTGCCCCGCGCGGCCCAGGGGCTGCCGGCCGCGCTCTTCCTCCCGGGCACAAAAAAACAGCTGCACGCTCGCGCACGCTTGCAGAGCAGGAGGGCAGCTGCAGCCCCACGGAGCTCCGGGGATAGCGCCCGCCCCCTGCCGTGACTTCCAGAGCCCCAGCTCACCATTTCATCCATCAGAGCATCGCATCTGCCGTACAGAGAAGCAGGAAATCCATGGTGAAGACGAGAGCATTGGGGCTGGAAGGGAAGGCGAAGGGGCCTGGGTGTCCCCGTGTGTGGCTTTGATCGAGCCACCGTTAAGAAACTGCTTTGGCACACGGGACTGCCGGTGCTGCCATCGAGGCTGCAGTGCCACTTGCCAAAAGCCCATCTCTCCATCTCACGTGCAAATCCAAAGTGGAGTGGGAAGAAAACCCCCCATCCCAAGGATTTGGCATGGAGCAAGGAAAGGAAGAGAGGCCCATGCATCGCTCCGCCGTCCAGCCGCTTCCAGGCAGGAGCCGCGGCCATCCAGGCACCACAGGGCTCCACGGAGCTGCTTTTCCCGGAGGAGCCAGTGCCGGGAACGCGCCCTCCGGCGCCTCCGCAGGTTGCTCCAGGGCTCCGCGGCCGGCAGGAGGAAGCCCGAAGAGGAGGAGGAGGCCAGGGGGTGGGGGGCTCCGCTGCCCCGTCCCCCTGCCCACCACTGACCCTCCACTCTCTCCTCTCTCCCACAGGGGTGGCCATAAGCACTTACGCCAAGTACTGCTACAACAAGCTCCAGAAAGCAGCCTTGACAGGAGCCAAGAAGGTAGCGTTGGGCCCCATTCCCCTTTTTTTCGTGCCATTTCATGGCTTTCCCGCGCCCATCCTGGCGTGATGCTGCTCTCAGGCCTCCGTCCTTGGAGGATGCCAGGTGGAGGAGCATGGTGGAAACGCTGGGCAGCAGTGCCCGGCCGGCCACGGTGCTCCCTGTGCCCGTGCAGCCGGCAAGCCCCGCTCTTTGCTCCGGTATCGCGTGTTTTCAACACGGCACGTGCCACGCTGGTGCCGCCGAGGGCAGCAGTGCCCTCCGGTGACCGTCGCCGTGTCCCGCAGGGCCTCAAGAAGCCCAACATCGAGGAGATCCGGCACGCCAAGAACGCCGTGTTCAACCCCTCCATGTTCGGCAGCTCGCTGCAGGACATCATCGCCATGCAGAAGGAGCGCTACCCAGACAGGCAGCTGCCCTGGGTGCAGACCCGCCTGTCTGAGGAGGTGCTGGCGCTCAACGGCGACCAGACCGAGGGCATCTTCAGGTAGGGCCGCGCGGCCGCGGCACCGTCCTTGCCAGCTGCGTGAGCAGGCTCCTCACTGACACCTCTCTGCCGCGCAGGGTCCCCGGGGACATCGACGAAGTCAACGCCCTCAAGCTGCAGGTGGATCAGTGGAAGATCCCCACGGGCTTGGAGGACCCTCATGTTCCCGGTGAGTGGCCAGTGCGTGGGCTGGGGTGGCCAGTGGGGTCTGTCCACCGTGGGGAAGGATGGAGGAAGGAGGCGAAGAGCAGGATGGTCATCACCCGTGGCTCTGGATTGTCCCAGGATGATAACTCTCTGGTAGCCCTCCATGGATGTCTCTTCCATGGGCATGTTGACCCATGGACCTTCTGGTGTCCCCATGGGCCTTTTGGTGTCCCCACATATCATTTGGTGTTCCCACGTCCTGCAGGTGCCCAGGTCACCTCCCACCGCGCCAAGCACCACGTCCTGCCCCATAGGTTTCTCCTCCTCACAGGAGGTGCCGGCCGTGGCCGGGTGCTCGCGCGGCTCACAGCCTCACTCTGCCTCCGCAGCCTCCCTGCTGAAGCTGTGGTACCGCGAGCTGGAGGAGCCGCTCATCCCGCACGACTTCTACGAGCAGTGCATCACCCACTATGAGAACCCCGAGGCGGCCATCGCCGTCGTCCACTCACTGCCCCGGATCAACAAAATGGTGCTGTGCTACCTCATCCGCTTCCTCCAGGTGAGGCTGGGGAGGCCGCAGGGGAGGCCGTGGGGGGGCCCAGTGCTGGCGCTGGGTGCGGGCATCACCACCGCACTCCTCTCTGTCCCCAGGTGTTTGTGCAGCCGGCCAACGTGGCCATCACCAAGATGGACGTCAACAACCTGGCCATGGTGATGGCCCCCAACTGCCTGCGCTGCCAGTCGGACGACCCGCGCATCATCTTCGAGAACACCCGCAAGGAGATGTCCTTCATCCGGGTGCTGATCCAGCCCCTCGACACCAGCTTCATGGAGCACACCAGGACGGTCTGGGCCTCCCGACCCAAGCACTGCATCCGATGGGGCCAGGATCTCCCAGCGGCCAGGAGCAGCCAATCCCGCTCCGCAATTGGGGAATCTCCAAGCAAGCGCAGGGAGCATCCATCTGGACCACGGCTGTGGACACGAGCCCAGAGTGTGGGGAAGGAGCCCATCTGGCACCACATGTGGAGGTAACATTCCCTATCACCATCTGGGCCACACTGGACCCATCTCATTGGCACCGTCTGCTCCTGCTGGGCCTGTCGTGGTGCCGCATCATCTCCATCTGGAACTGCCAGAGCCGTTATCTCCACCTGGCCCTGCTGGTCCTGCCTCAGTACCGATCGTCTCTGCCTGGCCTGGTAGACCCATCTCAGTGTCCACTATCTCTGCGTGGTCCTGATGGATCCGTCAAACTCCACCTGGCCCTGATGGACCCGTCTTGGTGCCCATCATCTCCACCTGGCCTTGCTGGACCCATCTCAGAGCTTGTCACTTCCGTTGGCCCTGCAGGACGGCTCTTGGCACCTCCACCTGGCCCTGATGGGTGGATCTCAGCACCCAATATCTCTTCCTGGTCCCGCTGGACCCATCTTGGTGCCCGTCATCACCACCTGGCCCTCACAGACGGCTCTTGGCACCCATCATCTCCATCTGGCCTTGATGGATGGATCTCAGCACCCAACATCTCCTGGTCCCACCGGACCCATCTCAGCATCCATCATCTCCCCTCGGCACCCACCACCTCCGCGCAGCCCTGCCGGACCCATCTCAGCGCCCACCACCCCCACCGGCCTTGGAGGACCCGTCTCAGTGCCCGTCACCTCCACCAGACCCGAAGGAGCCGCTTCCCCCCCGGGAAGCTCCCC